GTATGCATGCTCTAAGTTCGTAGTTCCCTACTTTGTTTATTGATGACCTAATTTGCACATGAGAGAAAAGAACCTATATGGATAGAAAGTCTTATATCAAACTCTAAAAAATTCATACTACACCAAATCTCTAATTTAAATTAAGCCTTGGAGTCGTGATAAGTGTCACAACCTCACTGAGAATATAACATAGTAGGCTGTGACTCTCTACATGAGAACAGACAAGGTGGCAATCCTTAAGTGATGCCCATTTGACCACGTGAGGGTCGAAATAGATAAGTGTCATGATGCAATCAAGAAAGATGGTGCATCATCCAACACACCAAGAAAAGTGTACATCAAAGCTAAGTTGAGGCATAAGGAAGGTTGGAGGGAATGATGGCAACATGAGTGTCGAAGACAAGCTCGAAGAGGGTTGGGTAGAGCCCTAGGCCATAACGTCAGAAGTCAGGATTTCAATGAGTTTCGACATGTGGCTTTGAAGTTAAGTCCGTATATATAAAAGATGAAACCTCACCAAATTTGGTGTCAATCGGACACTCCATGGGGACATACGACCACTTGCTAAAATCACATATACTCTAGAACGATCAAATATGCCTTAAAATGTACTATAGTGAGAGGTATGGTGTCAACTCTCTACTGCCCCTAGACCCTGTGGCCTAAGTGATCTGCCTTGTGGCACATATGTGTGTCACAATGTGGACAAGCGTTGTGAGATGGGTTTCAAACAACTTCCTTTGGAATAAAATTTGCGAGGACAATGGTGGATGATATGAATGTGCCGACATTGCACCCTAACCCATGTGTCGGAGGTTGGTATGCACACCCATTTTCTAGTATACTTTTCGTAAATGGCTTTGCATGGACACGGGAGAGTTCATCCCATGATAAAGCCTGGATGGATGTTGCACGGGATGCCCCAACGATATGATTGACACATGGATCGATTTGATAGACATGTCCGAGTAGGCTATAATGGTCGAAGTCGTCCTAAAACTTGGGATGACATCACGATGCATGGGTCATGGTGTAGGAAATCAAGATGATGATCGAGATGCGACATTGCATATGAGGGATCTTGGCCTGTAGTAGAGGTAAAGTTGAGCCGCATGTCTTGACCTAGACTAGAGGCAAGTCGGCGAGAGTCGTAGATGATAGAACATGCACGCATGGGCGACGTGTGTGACCGAACAAGCTTAGATTCTACATGAGTTGTGTTCGGTCGACAAATGAGAATATTGCCTAAGATTCGATAAAGCTACTTAGTCAGGCAAAGGAGAATATTTCCCTTAAAAAATGTCTTAAGCGTGTTAAGATCATGATGTCACACAGTTGAAAAAGTATGACGGTGATAGTTGGTATTAGAGCCACACTTTGTGTGTCTAAATCGATCAAGAAAGTTAGGAAATAAAGTCGATGATTGAATGAAGACTTCACAAGTGTGTCACGAGTGCCAGATTGGGCAGGATGATTGTGAGTCAGATTCGAGAATAGCTTTGTGGGTTGAAGCCAGACTCTTGAGGAAGAGTCTTACCCGTCAGATGCTGGGTGGTGTAGTTGGTAATCACGTTAGAGGTCCCAGTTCGAATCAGACATTTATAAAATTATGTTTTAGGAAGTTAAAAAAGTAGAAGAAGTTTTCCGAATCATTTATAAAAGAATTTGACTTAGGCTACCAAAAAACATATGTTGTCGGTAGAAAAACTTACCTATGATATTTTTGAAATTATTATATACTTTGATATAACAAAAACATATATTGTCGTGTTGAGTAGTTGAAAAGGGAAAAGTTTAAAGTCACGAAAAAGAGACAACTCCCACGTACATGTAATAGGAAAGGATATGCCCGTTTGGCTGAAGAGATGGTAAATATCAACATTGTAGTTTTATTCTACTCTCATGTTATATATGTGAATTTAGTATATTTATTTCATTTTACAGAAGAAAAGTTGTTCGGATCCAACTTCGATCTTAAGGATTATGTTATGGACAAAGGCTCACACAAAGAAGGATAGACAACCGGTGAATTCACAAGTTGCTGAGACACTCGTATTTGATATACTTTCTTGGTAGGAGCACATTGAACAAGCCGAAGTTGAGACAAAAACTTCATCAAATAATATTGTTGATGATGCCTTGAGTAAAGTTCTTGGACCCGATCGTGGGCATGTAAAAGGATTTGGATTTGGAGTGCCTTGTAAGGGAAGAAACGATGGAAATGAAATCAATATTCTCAAGTTTTACGAAGAAATAGGTACATTTTTTTATAAACTTTGAGTTTATTCCATATATATTAATCGAAATTTTCATAAATTGATCTAACCGACGAAGTATACCAAAATCAACAAATATCTATTCAAATTTGACAATACCTTCTCCGACACTAGGTTGATTTTCTAATTTAATGAATAAAATTATTGATTTCATTATTATTAACAAATTCTCCCTGCTTTTATTTTTCTTTTTGTAGAGCATCAATAATAATACTCAAATTAAGTGCAAGTTACTAGATTAACATGACTCAAGAGAGATTGTTGTAGAAGGACGATAGTCTTCTAATGATCTAGCTGCTCTTGTTCATCACATCCCTATTGGACCGCATGCTATTAGAGTATGAGTTGATATACCAAGGAAATGCAATGCCTATTTGTGGCGGCCTACATCAGAAATGACATGTATTGAAGAAGTTGTGGGTAATACAGTTGCTTGGCCATCGGACAAAGTGATTATCGGTATGTAATTTTTAACATAATTATAAATAATTCATTAAATATAGCATAAAATTGAAACTATAAATAATATATTATGGCATATTTTAACTATAAATTGCTATAAAACGTTTTCATGACAACTGATATAAGCTATAGATTCATACTCTATTATATAGCTATAAAAAAGTGCTATAAAAAGTTTTGGACTTTTAATAATATGGGCTGTCACGACGTATGAAAAACACTATAAAAAGTCAACGATAACATTTTTCAAAAGTTATCGTACTTATTGTTTGTTGTAGTGACTTTTTCCTTAACAACATTTTCACTATTGATTTGAGTTCAAATCGTTATTTTGGAGTCTCACCTTGCTTGGGTGGTGTAGTTGATTATCATGTTAGTCTAACACACTAGAGGTCCCCAATTTGAAACTAGGCTCAAACATTTTTAAAATTATGTTTTTACTTGATTCGAGTTCAAATCGTTATTTTGGAATCTCATCTTGTCTGGGTGGTGTAGTTAGTTATCACGTTAGTTTCACATACTACGAGGTCCCAGTTCGGACTTGGGCTTAGATATTTTTAAAATTATGTTTTTATTTTTTCCTTAACAACCGGTCGTTATTTTGGAATCTCACCTTGTTTGGTTGGTGTAGTTAGTTATCACGCTAGTTTAAAATACTACGAGGTCCCCAGCCTGAACTTGGGCTTAGCCATTTTTAAAATTGTGTTTTTACTTTTTCCTTAACAACCGGTCCCCATTTGAACCTGGGCTCAGACAGTTTTTAAATTATGGTTTTACTTTTTCCTTAACAACAATTTCAGTGTTGATTCGAGTTCAAATCGTTATTTTGGAGTCTCACCTTGTCTGGGTGGTGTAGTTAGTTATCACGCTAGTCTCACACACTAGAGGACTCACTTTGAACCTGGGCTTAGACATTTTTAAAATTATGTTTTTACTTTTTCTTTAACAACATTTTCAGTGTTGATTCGAGTTCAAATCGTTATTTTGAAATCTTATCTTGTCTGGGTGTCTAGGTAGTGTAGTTGGTTATCACATTAGTCTCACACACTAGAGGTCTCTAGTTTGAACCTAGGCTCGGACATTTTTAAAATTATGGTTTTACTTTTTTCTTAACAACATTTTCACAGTTGATTTGAGTTCAAATCGTTATTTTAGATTCTCACCTTGTCTGGGTGGTGTAGTTGATTATCACGCTAGTCTCACACACTAGAGGCGAACCTGGGCTCAGACATTTACATAATTAATTTAGATTCTCCTCTTGTCTCGGTGTTGAAGTTGGTTATCACACTAGTCTCACACAATGTTTTTACTTTTTTCTGAACAAAGATTTCACCGTTGATTCGAGTTCAAATTGTTATTTTGGTTTCTCAACTTTTTTGGGTGGTGTAGTTGGTTATCACGTTAGTCTCACACACTTACAGGTCCCCAGTTCGAACCTCGTTCCTAACGATGATATTTTAGTTTCTCAGTGGTGTAGTTGGTTATCATGCTAGTCTCACACACTAGAGGTAAGTTCGAACTTGGTTTTAAGTTTTCCCAATCATTTATAAAAGACGTTTTTTGTATATGATTGTTGATTCGAGTTCAAAGTATTAATTCAGATTCTCACATTGTAGTCTCACACTAGAGGTCTCGAGTTTTAAGAAGTTTTCCGAAATATGAGTGTTGATTCGAGTTCAAAGCATTAATTTAAACTCTTACCTTGTTTGGGTGGTGTAGTTGGTTATCACGCTAGTCTCACACACTAGAGATCCCCAATTCGAACGTGGGCTTAGACATTTATAAAATTGTGTTTTCAACTTCTTTCTTACAACACTCACCTTAAGAAGTTTTCCAAAATATGAGTATTGATTCGAGTTCATACCATTAATTTCTGACTCTGGGTGGTGTAGTTAGTTATCACGTAAGTCTCACACACTATTACATTTTTCGAGTTCAAAGCATTAATTCATACTCTCATATTTATAAAAAAAATTCTCACTCTAAAAGAAAAGAAGTCGAGCCTCCTCGAAGACATAGACTTAAAAAAGAAAAAGGAGTCGGAGCCTCGATTAAAGGTAGAGATACTTTGTTCGAAGGAAGGTGTTGGATGATAAAAGTTCTAAATAGACTAATTTTGAAATATTATATGAATTAGTAGGAAGGTTTTTGGAGAAGCCCAAATGAAAGCGAGCTTACACGGAGAACAATATCAGAACTATTTGTTTATAAATTTCAGTTCTTTTTATTAATTATTAGCTTTTTTTAGAAAGTGGGGTGGGGAATTGTGCAGGAAAGAATCAACAACGGAGAGAGCTCCATTGTTGTCTCACGTCTGTGTGAGCTTTGGCTCTTTGTATTCGTCTCTGTTCTTGCCTCGCTCAAGCACCGATCAGAGGAATTACTCAACGATCCAACACCTTTTTCTTTTTACTGCTACAGAATTTGATGTTCGGATTTTGATCTTTGAATTTCTACACCTTATTCTTCGTTGTTTCATCATCTTTGCTCTGTTTTTTCTCCCACAAATGTTAGATGCAAATCGCTTCGATTTGTGGAAGAAGGATGGGCTCTTTTCTGCCGCTGAGCAAGTCCAAGAATCCGCCGATACGTACGTTTTTCAATTTTCGTTTGATTTGGGGGTTTTTCCGCCGATGTCTGATTGATTTGTTGTGGAATTTTTTAGGATTCTGGAAATGGTTATGTGAGTTTGGAATTGTCTGTGTATTATATCTTTTTCGGTTGTTTTGTGTTCTTAATTTTAGTTTCTTCTTCTTCTTCCCTCTGTGTTTGTTTTTCAAGAGGATGAAGCTTATGTTCTGTGTTTTTGTTGAGTTTCTACAATAGTGATGGTTCATGATTCTAAATTAATCCAGCAACGAAGTTTTCTTCTCTGTTTGCTGCATTTGGGAAGGTGTCCTATGCTTACTGGGGTTTTGGGGGGAATCTACTGCTTTCTTAATTTGTTCAGCCATTCCTAGGCCATTAAATTTTAGCGCTGTCTGTGAGATCCCACATCAGTTGGAGTGGAGAATGAAGCATCGGTTGGAAGAGAACGAAGTATTCTTTATAATGGTGTGGAAATCTCTCCCTATGAGATAGTGTTTTAAAAACCTTGAGGGGAAGCCCGAAAAGGAAAACTCAAAGAGGACAATATCTGCTAGCGGTGGGCATGTGCTGTTACATATAGTATTAGAGCCAGACACCAAGCAATGTGCCAGCGAGAAGGCTGAGCTCCGAAGGGGGTGGACACGAGGCGGTGTGTCAACAAAGATGTTGGGCCTAAAGGGGTGGATTGGGGGGTCCCACATCGATTGGAGAAGGGAATGAGTACTAGCCAAGAGGCTGGGCTCCGAAGGAGGTGGATTGTGAGAATCCACATCGGTTGAGGAGGAGAATTAAACAATCTTTATAAGGGTGTGGAAACCTCTCCCTAGCAGGTGCATTTTAAAAACCTTGAGGGGAAGTCCGAAAGGGAAAGCCCAAAGAAGACAATATCTGCTAGCGGTGGGCTTGGGTTGTGCCGTTACAAAGACTCTTTATTGCCTCTTTCTCCTGTATTGATGCTCCTATTGGTTTCTTATTTCAGAATGGAGTTTGCATTCAGGACATGGGTAAGAGAGAAACGGGAGTGGCTAAATTCAGATGATTTGGATGAACTCCGTCGGGAGGTACAAACGGCTCTTGGCACAGCCAAATGGCAGGTTGGATACTGAATTGAACTAAACTAATGCATCTGTTCTATCTTTTACTGCCATCATAAACTCTGATAAATCTTCCAAAATCCAATCGGATGGTAATTAGGATTCTTAAAATGATATGCACGAGTCATATTTTCTAGTGAAACAATGGTTATACACCGATTTATAATCATAATTCTGTGTTGTTTTTCCTGTCTTCAATTAGCTGGAAGAGTTTGAGAAAGCTGTCGGAGTTAGCTATCGTTCTAGAAGTGAAGAACATGCGTTGGAACGACATAGAATGTTTATTGCAGCCATTGGAAATCAAATTTCCCATGTTGAAGCTGTTTTAAGAGAATCTTATGACAAAGTTGGCAAGCGGCCTCTTCGATGGGTAAATCTAAATAAAGAAGAATGTAATGATTTGGCTGCATTTCTCTCTGGAATATCCCAAGTACCACATAGTGCGAAAACCGAATCCTCTGTGTGTAGGTCTTCAGCAAAAAGTTATACGTTTGAGACACGTGAACGAGCAACGGAAGAAATTAATCGTACTTCTTCCTGCAGCTCGAGTAATTCCTTTAAAATGAAGGGTGGAAAATTTGCTAATTCTGTAGATATGAAAGAAAGTCTTGGTAGAGTAGATGATGCACTATGCAAAATGGATACAACGACGAAGGCAAGACGAGCAAGCCCACCGACTGCTCCTGACCTGCAAATTGTAATTACGAATGAAAATCATGAAAAAAAACAGTCTGTTACGAGTTTAGAAGTTACAAAAAAAGGAAAATCGGGATCGGTCTTCTTGAAGAGAGGATGTGGAATATTTTCCCAGGTGAGCATTCAGGGAGCTGCTTGAATCTGGTAACGTGGTTCTGTTTGTTTGTTAGTTTTTAAATTTCTTTTCTGATAGGAAACAGAATTTTTAGTTGTTTTTTTTGCTGTTATCTATATAATGAAAGTGATATAGCTATAAGTTATTCTTGCAAGTGTGAGAGATCCCACATCGGTTGAAGAGGAGAACGAAACATTCCTTGTAAGGGTGTGGAAACCTCTCCCTAGGAGACGCGTTTTAAAACCTGGAGGGATGCCCGGAATAGAAAGCCCAAAAAGGACAATATCTGGTATCAGAACCAGGCACCGGGTGGTGTGCCAGCGAGGACGATGGACCCCCAAGGGGGGTGGATTGTGAGATCCCATATCGGTTGGAGAGGAGAACGAAACACTCCTTTATAAGAGTGTGAAAACCTCTCCCTAGCAGATGCGTTTTAAAACTTTGAGGAGAAGCCCAGAAGGGAAAGTCCAAATAGGACAATATTTGTTAACGGTGGGTTTGAGCTGTTACAAATGGTGTTAGAGCTAGGTACCAGGCAGTGTGCCAGCGAGGACGTTGGGCTCCTAAGAGGGGTTGATTGTGAGATCCTAATAAGGGCGTGGAAATCTCTCCCTATCAGACGCGTTTTAAAACCTTAAGGGGAAGCCCGAAAGGGAAAGACCAAATAGGACAATATCCGCTAGCGGTGGGCTTGGGCTGTTACAAATGGTATCAGAGCTAAGCACTAGGCAGTGTGCCAGTGAGGACGTTGGGCCCCTAAGAGGGGTAGATTGTGAGATCCCACATCGGTTGGAGAGGAGAACGGAACATTCCTTATAAGGGTGTGGAAACCTCTCCCTAGTAGATGCGTTTTAAAACCTTGAGGGAAAACCAAAAGGGAAAGCCCAAGTAGGACAATATGTGATAGCGGTGGGCTTGGATGGTTACAAAAAGGTTACCCATACTATTGTATGAAATTATGAGGCATGAACTCATATTCTTCCATTTTTTTTGCATTATGGTTTGAGAATAATATATCCCTTTCCAAATATTCATTGTAATTGTGCACTTATGGGTTCCAAATGAAATGTACCTGTAACTACATTTTCAGCTCTTCGGTTGGAGTCAGCAGCGACACATATACCGACCCTGGCATCTTCAGCTTACATGTTTTATTCCATTTACACTTGCTTTGGTGTTGACTCTATTCTTGATCGGTGAGTTTCTAATTTTCTCGAGGATACGAAGCATTCAAATTTTAGAACGTTACAAAATTTGGATTCAAGTTGAAGTATGTCATTTATACGTAGAGATTGGGTTCGATATCGTTATAAAGATTAACTGATATCTCCAATATCTTTTATAAATTTCCATAAAACAATCAAATCTCAATATGAATACAAATACTAATAACATATTGTAGAAGTAAAAATAACTTAATTATTAGTTCAAATAATTTTTATAAATTTTTTAATTTACCTATATGTTGTGACCAATGTTGATGTATCCGTAAAGTTAAAATTCTAGTTGTTCGAGTGTTTATATCAGTATAATTGTAATTTTGTAAGTATATTAGTTGTGTTGTTCTTCGTTGTCTTCTCTCACATGCTTCGCACTAAAGTTGATATTGATATCGACATCGATCTTTTAATCTTTGGTTATGAGATTTGTATGTACGTAAATGGCTTCGGTTTCCTTGTGCAAATCTTGCTGATGATGGTTTCCCTTGCAGTGCCCATTGTTTTTTACTCAGCTTGAGCTTCTAGTCCATTGTACACGCAACATTTTCGATCGTAACAGGTATACACTTATTTTTGTCTTAGAGCTTAATAAATTCCTCTCCATATTGTAAGTATTGGAATAATTTAAGAGAAATGTTATTGGTATTGTGCTATTGTAGCTGTTATTAGTCACCATCGAATCGTCGTTGAGGAACAAGAACTACGATTGCCCATTTCTTGAATGAGCAATCATCATAGACCACGAAACCTTTTTGATAGCCTTCGACCTGCTACCATGGCAGCCGAGCAAAAATCATGGAATCGAATCGAACAACATCCCTTAGCCTGTTCATAACTTGGAACTCTCTCAATTGGCTGGCCACTTCCTTCTAAACTCTAGCAGATGAGCCTTTTTTCCTACAAATTTTTCTAGGAACAAAGATGGAAAAACCCGCTTTCTTCCCTTCCGAAAACAAGATACATGGCTGGTTCTCCCTCTATTCCTTAATATCTTGTAACAACCCAAGCCCACCGCTAGCAAATGTTGTCTTCTTTGAGCTTTTTCTTCTAGGCTTCCCCTCAAGGTTTTAAACCCAAGCCCACCGCTAGCAAATATTGTCCTCTTTGGGCTTTTTCTTCTAGGCTTCCCCTCACGGTTTTAAAATGCATCTACTAGAGAGAGGTTTTCACACCCTTATAAGAAATGTTTCGTTCTCCTCTCCAACCAATGTGGGATCTCACAATCCACCCCCTTGAGGGCCCAACATCCTCACCGGCACACTGCCCGGTGTTTGACTTTGATACTAATTGTAACCGCCCAAGTCCATCGCTAGCCGATATTGTCCTCTTTGGATTTTCCATTATGTGCTTCCCCTCAAGGTTTTAAAACGCGTCTACTCGAGAGAGGTTTCCACACCCTTGTAAGAAGTGCTTTATTCTCCTCTCCAACCAATGTAAGATCTCACATATCTGATTACTCTAGTGAGTACACAAGAAGAAAGCCTCTACCTTCAAAAGACATTCTACTATCAAAACCCACAATTCACCGACCACCGGCTTCCCCATCACCAACCATTAACCATCTAACAAACCGTCTCTGTTCCAAACACGTGTGCACGTTTGAATCCTTTTCGAGTCCAGACTCATCCATCTGAAAGGAAGTGATCGTTGTTCAACCGTGATTCTTGAATTGATATTCATGATCAATGTATTACTTACATCCATTTTCAACCTCTGAATTGAGCCCATTATGTTTATTTTCATGAACTGGAGCTTCTCTACAGGTGTTGAACAGGCGTTTGGGAAATGATAACATAACACATTCATGTTCTTCTGAGCTCTTCCGTGCCATGCCTAACCTCAAAATTCATGAAAATAAGGTATGTATTCATTATTGTTGTGGCTGTAAAGTGCAAATGTCTGGATGAATTGTTAAATATTACATAGAACTTGCCAATGTAAATAAGGATTCAGGCTTTATGCAATTATTTATTTTGCCACCTCCCTAATACATAAATATGTGTTGATTTTCTCATTGATCTTGTTAGCTGCTGTGGATTAGTTTGGACCCATTTGATAATGTTCTCATTTTTCGTTTGTCGAAGAACTAGCTTATTTGATAGTCTATTCCGTTTGTTGTTTCTTACTTTTTTTAAAACGTTTTGAAAAATAGAGTAAATTTGAGGTGCAGATGAACGATTATTGTCTAATTCCTTATCCTAATAGAGAAACAAGATTGAACGACAATGATAGTGGATTTTAATCACGATCGAAAGGCTTGAAACTACATAAATAATAAAAAAATTTAAGGGAATGAGTTTAAGTCATGACGACCACCTGCATAGGATCAATGTCGCGAGCCATCTTGGTAATTAGTTAATTGTCTCGGGAGAATAGTTAATTACTTACAAGTTGGCATAGTTAAGGAAAGTCGAGTTACAGAACTTTTTTTTTTCTATATGAAAGAAAAAAGTGGTATCATGAGTTAAAAGTAGACAAATTATTCGTGATTTGCATGTAAAAATCATGAAATTGAGCTCATTTCGAACTCTTGAGTCATCATTTTTTTTTTTTTTTTAATTCCTCTATTGTTTTATCATTATTTCCATAAAAATAAGGTCATCAACCTACATTTTCAATTAAGAACTCTTAGTTGAGTTGATGACAAGATCGATTTTGACAAAAAAAAATCATTTTATTTTTCTCTCATCCTCCGCTTTCCATTGTCTTTAGATTCTCACATTTCTTGCTTATAATTGTACTTTCTCTTTTCTTGTGTGAGAATTCCACATTAGTTGGTAAGGAGAACGAAACAGGTGTGGAAACCTTTCCTTAACATGCACGTTTTAAAACTTTGAGGGGATACTCGAAAGGGAAGGCCCAAAGAGGACAATATATGCCAGTGGTGGACTTGGGCCGTTACAAATGGTATCAGAGCCAAACATCAAACGATGTGCCAGTGAGGAGGCTATTCTCGAAGGAGGGTAGGCACGAGGCAGTGTGTCAGTAAGGAAGCTGGGTTCCGAAGGGGGTAGATTTGGTGGGGGGTCCCACATCAATTGGAGAAAGGAACGTGAGTCAGCAAGCGCAGGATCCAAAGGGGTGTGGATTGTGAGAATCTCACATTGGTTGGAGTAAGGGTGTTTTCAAGTGCGAAAACCTTTTCCTAGAACAAAACACCCTTTTTTAGAGCCTAAAAGGAAAAGAACAATATTTGTTCTTTAATAGGCGAGGACCCTTACATTGTCTTAGTACTCTCTCCAACTTACAAATAACAAATAACAAATAGAAAAGAAATCTAAATTTTTATAACTCAATCACTTTACACAATCAAAACATGGATCATACAAAACTAGCTTTCCATCAAGTTGAAAGGAGGAAAGGAAGAGGTCATTGGCTTTCAACTCCCACAACTCCTTGTCTATTGATTACATACTCACAAGATGATTTAGGTAAGTGAGGTGCAAAAACAACATGAAGCCATCTTCTTGTTCTTCTTTGTGCTAATTCACCACCATTCACCACCCCATCACCTTCTCCAACAACTTCCTCATTTCTTGACAAAAACAATCTCGAATTAACACAATTAGCCCAAGTGATCCCTAACGCGGGGCAAACTCGTCGTCCCGATGAACATAGAGACTTCAAATTCCCAATTCTCAATGCACTTATACCATCAGAAGAATCCAACAAATCAACTACCTGATTTGTCAACACCACAGCCAAAGAATACCTCTTAGCCAACAGCTTCAACTTCCCAGAAATCTTGAAGAACAGAGCCGATCTCCGCTTGAGATCAGACGGGGTGTTATCGAAATCGGACCGAAACAATGCTGCGATCGAATCGATCACAATTAGCCTGGTGGGCAAAGGGGAATCACGATTTGCAAGAAAGGATTCTATCTTAGGCATTATGTCGAACAGTTGTTGTGCAGAGTGAACAGGTTCAACAAATATGTGATCGGAGGGATTGGGAAATTGGGGGTATGAAGAGGAAAAGGCTTGGGAGAGTTGTTGAAGGCGGCGGAAGGGGAAAGGGAACTCGGTGTGGATGTAGAGAGAGGAGGCATTGAGGCCGCCGAGGGAAAGGGGGAGCTGCGCGCAGTGGCAGAGTTGGAGACAGAGTTGGGTTTTACCACAGCCGCTCTCGGCGACGATCTCGGTGAGGGAGTTGCAAGCGACGCCGCCGCCGACGGAGCGGTCGATGATCGGACATCCAAAAGTGCACTTTCGAGTGGTTTGAAGGAGATGAAGGAGATTTTCCGGCGTCATTTCAGATTCTGGAAAGGGCGAGAGGGCGGAGCTCGGGTTTGGTTTGAATTTCGGGTTCCCTCCATTTCATAATGATATATTTTTGTTTTTGTTTCAATTTATAACTTTCTTTTTTTAGCGCCAATTTATTTTGTCATAATATAATAAAAATATTTGGGATTAGATAGGTGACCATTTTCTTTAGGAGTAGCGTTGGCGTGTTGATTATGCCATCTCTATTGCATATCCTAACAAGAGTCCTTACGTATATCTCGCTTTTTTTTATGTGGTCATGTCTAACTGGGCCTTGTTCTCTCCTCTTACACCACAATTTTACAAAATTGTATTGATACTTAGAATCTAATCATGTTCGGAAAGAATATTTGTGAAAGCATGTTGTTTTGTATTTTGTATTTTGATGATATTTTAATTTATCCCAAAACTTTGCTGCTTTGCTTGAATATGTGGAGTATGTTAAGTCAGTTTTGATTATATTTAGGAAAGAGAAACTTTATGCTAATTTTAATAAGTGTAAATTAACTTTCTTGATTTCAAAGTTGGTAAAAATGGAGTAGAGTAGATGAAGAGAAAATTAAAAGCAATTAGGGATGGGCCAACACCGAAAAATGTGAAATTCGAAGTTTTCATAGGTTAGTAGATTTATAAAATATTTTAGATCATAGCTGCACGATTGAATGATTTAATGAAAAAGAATGTTGTTAAAATATACGAAAATATAAGAGAATGCATTCAAATAGGTGTTGTTTTGATGCAAGATGGAAAGCCTTTAAATGTATTTTAGTGAAAAATTAAATGGAGCAGCATGAACTACCATGCCTATGATAAAAATTTGTTTGCTTCAATTTGTACATTCAGGCGTGGTAACACTACTTGTGGTCGAGAGAGTTTGTGACATACTCTAATCATGAATGCTTGAAGTATCTTAAATGTCAAAACAAACTGAATCGTAGGCATGCAAAGTGGGTGAAGTTTATTGATACATTTTCGTATGTCAGTAAGGATAATATGGTAGCTGATGCATTATAAAAAAAAGTACAATCTCTTTACTTCTCCTACGGTCAAAATTATTGGATTTTAGTATATTAAAGAGTTATACAAATATGACTACGAAAAAAGTTGTGGATGACTATTATGTGTTTCATGAATTTCTATTTAAGAAAAGTAAGTTTTATGTTCCTAAATGCTCTCTAGGAGATTTATTTGTAAAAGAAGTACATGGAGGTGATGTAATGGGACTTTTTAGGATTAATAAAACTTATAATATGTTGGATGAACAGTTCTTTTGGTTGAAGATGAAGTACGATGTTCATAAGTTTTGTAGTCAATGTTTTAAAGGTAAAAAAGCTAAGTTTAGATCACAACCAAATGGATTGTATACTCATTTGAATGTACCTAATGACAAATTTAGTAAAATGACTTATTTTATTGCAGGTAACAAACCTAAGGAAGGAAAACATGTGGTTAGCATATTCTTGAGGAATACAGTAAGATTTAAAATTTTAAGCCACTTTTGGAAAGTATTATGGATAAATTGGGTACAGATTCTTGTTCTTAACTACATGTCATCCTCAAATTGATTGGGGGAACCGATCCTCAATATTGGGAGCATTGCATACGGCTATTATTTCTAAGAATATCAGTCTTGGGACGAATATTCATCATTTGTAGACTTTGCATATAATAGAGCAATTCATAGTACTACTCATCATTCCCGTTTTAAAGTTATTTATGGATTTAATCCACCTACTCGTGATTCATTGTTCTCCTTTTGCATATAATAGAGTAATTCATACTAAATTCTTTTACTGGACATTTGAAGAGTTGGAGGTTTCTTGTGGAGAGACCATAAATTCTGACAAACTAGTTAGTAAAAAGCAAATTCTTTTGAAGTCTCACGTTGAAACTTTCATCCTTAGAATTTTGAGCATTATCTTTGTCATTGGTAAATTTTCAAGTAATTCTTGTGGTAGATTGCATCCGAGCGGTTAAATCAAGTTCTATTCTAGAGTGACATCACCTAGTGAAGCTTAAGGAATATGAAAGCGATCCTTGTGTAGTAGATTATGTGTGCTTGAAAGTGATGTACATGAAACTATGTGTATTTAAGTGAAGTGATGCACATAAAAAAAGAAAAGAAAATGAGTAAAATCCAATTTTAGGCTTTAGATCCCATCATAGTCATGTAAATTCAAGGATTCACAATATTTGCTATGGAGGCCATAGGATAGTCACCGGTGGAGTTTTAGTGTGATGTCCTACATTAGTTGGAGAGGAGAACAAAACACTAACGGTGTGGAAACCTTCCCTCACCAGACACGTTTTAAAGCCTTGAGTGGAAGCCCAGAAAGAAATGCCCAAATAGGACAATATCTACTAGTAGCTAGTGGAAGGCTTGGATCGATATAAATGGGATAAGAGCTAGACACCGAACGATGTATCAACCTTCTCATTGTTCCTCGAAGGGGGATAGACATGAGGCAGTATGTCAATAAGGACGCTACGCCCTGAAGAACGGGGCTTTGTGATTTGAGAAAAAGACTATTTTACCCCTCGAAATAGTTTATGTATGGATGAAAAATGGCCACCCAAAAGAACCTCCACCACAAAGTGAATAGCCATTTGTCTTTTGTTATGTATTAAAAATAAAAATGGGGAAAAGTTGAATTAATAACTTTAGAAGGACCACAACTTTAATTATCTCTAGGGCTTCAATAATTGATTTAATTGGACACTCGGAGGTGTCAAAGCCCAGCATTTCTTTGAGATATAGTCACGCTATTTACTCGTCGCTTTTAAAAGTGAAAAATGACTTTTTTTTTTTCATGTTTTTAGTACAACAGCTTATCGTTTGTTACTAGCTAGCTAGGTTCGATTGATTAAAGAACCACTTTCTCAAATTCAATGACATTGAAATAAATTTGTACGACTCATGCTCAAAATTCGGAATTCAAATTTGATACTTGATGGCTGGCTGGCCCTAGCATTTTCCTGAAACATAGTCACGTTACGTACTCCCGCTTCTAAGAGTGAAAAAGTCAAAAATTCAAATTTGACTGTTGACCCTTGCATTTTCCTGAGACATGGTCACGTTACTTACTTCTCGTTTCTAGAGTCAAGACTACTCCCACAGACCAACACGAGTCCTTCCAGGAGGTCACCTAACATAAAATTGTTCCGAGCTAAGCATACTTAAATATGAAGTTCGATTGAGCCACCGAAAAGGAAAATGCAACTTGTTTCAACTCTTTCAAGTTTTTCTTAGTCATCATGTTCTCAGGATCACTCTTATTCGGATGTCGTTTTCAATTAATTCATGTACCTCCCATTTACTCTGGTGTCACATAATTGATACATAATCACGGTTGAGCTAGGCTCATATCCGCTATTTAATTATTTTTGGTTCGGAGCATTTCTATGTATTATTTTGTAATAATAGCAAACAATTAATGAAATAAATAATTATATACGTACAAATCCACAGTATACATATTTAAAGCACATGCTATGCTTATCCTTATTCTCTGTTTGGGAGTCTCAAATTTTGTTTTTTCTTAACCAAATTATCACTTTTTTCTGTTCATTGATTCATAAATTGTACTCAAAAATAGTTTCGATCTTTGTTTTTTAGATTTTTTTTTTTTTTTTTTTGGGTTAAAAATAACAAAATAGTGGGAAAAAAAAAAAAAACCATCTATCAGGGGCATTTTGGTCATTTTGGTCATTTTCACAATTGACGGAGTTAACTTGGCATCTCCCTCAATACCTACTAATGTTCGAACTTGTGCATAAAGAGTGGAACTAACTATCAATTCATCCTCTTAGTCAACAAAGCTATGACACCATTCAATAATAATCACTCGTGTGGATCATGGTGTTCACTAGCTTGTTAGTTCTCTCTTCCATAGCGTTATCTACAATATACGGTACAATGAGTCCCGACGGGGTGGTTGTTAGCGTCATGCTCATCATGAGTTAACTCAATAGTCTTTTCTTTTTCTCTCTCATTTTCCCTCTGTATCATGTTTTTTTTTCTTTATAGGTGGATTATGTGAAGTGCAGCTGAAAGTCGTTGGCGTATTCTTAGTGTCGGGGGAAATGTGTAGGGTGAAGGTGTGAGAATTTCAACGAGTCATCGAAATTCTTGCCCCCTTTTTTTCCGGGTACCTCATTATTATTATTATTATTATTATATGTTAATTTCAATTAAGAACCCAATCCATGAACCCACTCCAAGTTCTTACTATTGTGGAGAAAATGATTGAGTAGAATTAAGGTAGATCAAGACTTCAAATACGTTAGTACTTTCTTTTGAACGCTTTAGTTTTGTTGTTAAGAAGAAACGATGCGGCCTTGCACCAATTTAGGCCACGTCTTATTAAATATAAGGAAATAATGAAGGTAGCAAGAAAATATAAGAGTCAAAGAAGGATAATATTTTAAAGATTTTCTCTAAGTTACAATATGGTCGTTAGGAGTCAGAGTGAGGTCTTTTAGCTCACTATTGCCCCATAAACTATGTGATACCCGCCTGCTCCACCACTGAGCTACTAAAGAATAACAATAAATTAGATTTCAGATAATTTAATTCCCGTTCTCAACCCATGATCAATATGAGTTTGAGGTTTACTTCGTAGCTCCCGGAACTTCTTCGTAGTGGCTCCGTTCCATGCCTCATTTCATAGAAAACTTCAAAGTGGCTCTATTTCATTATATTTCATTCATATCTCAATTTCATTCATTTAATATCACTGTGGTGTTATTGAGATAAGAGATGTTTCTAGTCTATCTGGTTCTATTTCTATATATATGGAAATTTAAAAAATTATCATATCTATAATAATCCAGAAATTGAAGTAGAAAAGAAAAAGGGAGATTTGTGATGATTTTAAAATCTTTTATACTAAGTAATCTAGTATCATTATACATGAAGATAATGAATTTGGTCATTGTGGTCGGGCTCTATTATGGATTTCTGACCACATTCTCCATAGGGCCCTCTTATCTCTTTCTTCTCCGAACTCGGGTTATGGAAGAAGAAACCGAGAAGAAAGTATCAGCAACAACAGGGTTTTATTACGAGATAGCTCATGATGTTCATACTGATCTATTATGTGCCTATGCATCTAGCATTAGGTAGACCTCATGCAATAACGGTCCTAGCTCTACCGTATCTTTTGTTTCATTTCTTCTGGAACAATCACAAACATTTTTTTGGTCATGGATCTACTACCAGAAACTCAATGCGAAATCCTAGCATTTAATGTGTATTCTAGAGTAATCTTATTTTTCAATTATTCAACCATTTCATTTTACCAAGTTCAATGTTAGTCCGATTAGCCAATATTCTTATGTTTCGATGCAACAAGTAGTTTTGTTAGTTGGCTAATTGGTGATATGAACCAAGAGTCATCAGTCATACAATATACTTCAACTTATATGTGAAGAAAATGTTGTTTAAATTATCAAAAGATATTTCAATTCATGTCAAACAATACGAAATTTCATTGTTATAAATTATGGTGGATCATAATTTAGAGTTATAATGTTTATTTAATGTATTTTAAGACTTATTTAGGGTGGTTATAGTTACTAACTCTTGGAATGGCTCGTGGAACGTGAAGGGCTTCTATTTTGAGACTATATAAAGTCATGTACAGTCTTGGAAAATGTAGTAAAATGAGTATTTTGCTTTCCTTTCGTCAATGACTAAGTTTCTTTCCAATAGAATAATGGAAGCTTGACAATATCAATGTTGCTTGTGGAGTGATTCAAATCTCAACAAGAACACTTATCTTATTAGTGCATGCATTGTTGTGCACACAAAAAATCAGGTACGAAATCTCATGCATAAGCATGGATAACATATATTACCATTACAAGTATGGTTGTAATGATCCAAACCCACCTCTAACGGATATTGTTCTCTTTAGACTTTCCCTTTCGAGCTTCCCTCAAGATTTTTATACCCTTATAAGAATGCATCCCCAACCGATGTAGGATCTCACAGTGGTGGCAATCACTCATTTATACAATGAAACGCTAATAGTAGACTCAAATTTTGATGACTAATACAAGTTTAAAAGCTTAACTAGAAACATATATGTTTAATTAAAACTTGGTAGAATTACTTAGGGTGGCCTTCTTTATGTTCTCCTTATTAATTAAGCTTAATGAACTCATTGATGTTATAGACCAACCTATTAACTTCCAAAGAAAAAAAACCACATGATCCGAGTGAAGGAAATTTACATGAATGAGCTAGAGTCACATCGAGAGCGATTCTGACTTTGAGTGAAGGAGGTTTACATGAATGAACTAGAACCACATCGAGAGCAATCCTAACAATAAAATGACTAAATAGTAACAATAAAGTACATCATTATTTTCAGTAACTCAGTGTTGGATGATGAAAGTCCCACATCGGTTAATTTAGGGAATGATCATGGGTTTATAATCTAAGAATACACTCTCCATTGGTATGAGGTCTTTTGGGGAAGCCCAAAGCAAAGCCATGAGAGCTTACGCTCAAAGTGGACAATATCATACCATTGTGGAGAGTCGTGTTTGTCTAACACTCAGTAACTCAATAACTCTGAAATTAAGTGTGTTCTATGTTATCGGAGAAAAAATTTCAAACCCTTATCCTAATTTAAAAGAATAAAATAAATTAAGAAAAATAATATATATATATATAAAAATACAAAAAATATTAAATTACTTCCAAAAAAAAATTAATTTTAGCCCTAGTCTATGAAAGTAAATATGTACCTAGAGAAACTATAAAGTTTAATTAAAAAAATAAAATAAAATAAAATGAGAGTAGAACATAAATATTATAATATATTATGCTCAGAGATTAGTTATAAGGAAGCATTCAATAACATTTAAAATTAAAAATTAAAAAAAAATATTTAAAAAAAAAAAGATATTATTTTCTTTCATATTTTATGAAAGAAATGATAATTATATAAGATAATATTTAAATAATACAGATGGGTTTCTCATAAAATATATAATTTAATTATTTCCTCTTCGCCTCCTTGAATTTGCTTTTATTGGCAGTATTCGAATTCTCTTCGCCACCCGCACGAAATCACTGCCACACATACACATGAATTTCATGTTATTAATTATTCTCTTTATTTACATTATTTTTTCACCAAAAAATAATGATAATAATAATAATAATTACTTCCCATTTTTAAATTAATCAATTTACGTGATAATTAGCTATCCATGTGTCGATAAAAGATTGATATTGTAACGGTCCGGGTCCACGCGGGCAGACATTGTCTTCTTCCTTATAAAGGTGTTTTGTTCTCCTCTCCACCAATGTGGGAGGTCACAATCCACCCCCTTCAGAGCTTAGAG